TGCCCGAATCTCAAGGCGGCCCCATCCCAGCTCATCCCACTCCAGGCCAGCTCATCCCCTCATCCCTTGGGCAGACATCCCCCGGCACCACAAGCTAAACACATTTGTGGGTCAGTCAATAGAGGACGTGCTGCGCCTGGACGAGTCGAGTCGATTCGATTCGAGTGTGTAGAAATCCGAGAGTTTCACTCCTGAATTTCTAATAAATTCATGGGGCAGGGGCAAGGGGCAAGGACACAGGAAAGGAAAGCTGCTTAAGTGCGCCACCCACGCTACACCCTTTGGGCCTGGCCGATTGTGTGCGGTTGTATTTCACTCCACGTTCTGACTTCTAGACTTCTCGTGATTATGTGTGTAATTTGCAATTATGACTTCCTTTGACGTGGCTTCGTTCGTTTGGGGTGGGCAGGATTCGGCCAGCCAAGATGGCTCAGACTTATTTAATAAACTTGTCCGCCCTCCTGTGCGGCGGTGTTGTTGCTTAATTTAAATGTCCGCATATGGCCCCAGGACATTTGGTTGGGATATTCAGGACGTATTCAGGACACTCAGCACACACGCACACACGCACACTCGACCGCAAAGTGATTCACACGCTCCGGGTCGGGTCAAGATGTCTTGCCCTGTGCCCGGGTCTGTGTGTGGGTTTTTGGCCCATCCTTGGCGGAGGCGGAAGTGGAAGTGGACAAGGGGGAAGCGCCCCACTTGCTGGCCGGGCATCTTGACTTCACCCTGATTTGGTGATTTGGTGATTTTGGTGATGTGGGTGAGGGCTGAGGGCTGAGGAGTGGGGCGGGGCGGGGACCACGACTCACTGTTGTCTCTGCGCCGAGTAATCCCAGATTTCTGGTTATCCCCTGACCTGCGACTGTGTGCGTGTGCGTGTGCCTGTGCTTGTGCTTGTGCGGGGTGTCGCATTCGCATAATTTGTAGGTCATGCATATTTGGCATGTTTGACATGTTTTCTTGGTGTTTTACATGATAAACACTCAAGGGTGCTGGCGAAGTAAAGCACACACAAGGACCAAAGACCAAGGACTTGGGTCCTTGGCTCAGTGGCCATATTATTGGACGTATGCGTGTGCGTGGTTGTTTTGAGAGCAATTTCTCAGTCAATTTTGCCGCTTGGGTAGGGGAACTTAATTTGATTTTCGAGTAGAAAACTTTGGCTGTTGCCAAATTCCCCAAGGTGGTCACCGGGGGGCTACTTGCAGCGCTTTCCCCTTTAGTTGCTGCGTCTCTCTCTCTCTCTCTATCTCTCTCTCTGTCCCTCTCTTAATTTCGGTGACTGGGACTTTAATCAAACGCTAGCCGCGCACTCCTCTGATCACAAGAGCAACCGGTTTGCCAAATCAAGGAGAGCGAATGGGCCGCGGAACGAGTTTTGTTAGTTCCGCGTCGAGCGTAACATTTGTGTCCAGACCCAAGGCTCCTTCGGCCACGTTGCAGGCACATGTGCAGCGGTCGAGGGGCAGCGGGAAAGCGACTCGAATCTCGATCCCAAAGTGCACTTATGGCCCAGCTCCACGCAGCCCCGACCCGACTGACTGCGGCTTCAGTGCCTGCTGATTTCTATGTAGGTCGCTGCAATTCAATACTGGCCCTACGAACCCTGCCCCTGCCCCTGTCCCTGTCCCTGTCCCTGCCCCCGATTGCAGATTTCAGATTTCTGCGGCTTCGGTTTCGCTTTTGGGCCCAGTTTCTGGCTCGCTTGACGTGTCTCTGCTAATGCGTTGCTTTTTCAAATCCTGCACTTCTCGCCGGGATGGGGAATGCAGTCGCTGGACAGAACAGGTTTACAGTGGGCCCTCTGCACTGCGCCCTGAGTGGCGATTAACACATCAACTGTCGGTCGCCGCTGCTTGGTCGCACTGACCGATGGGGCCCATAAATCAGGACACGCTTATCGCTCCGCCGCTATCTGAGCGGTTCTATTTCGATCCTGGCAGCGCCTTGGGCCTGGGACATGCTCAACAGGCGGACAGCTGAGTAGCGTGGTGTGGTCTAACGTGACGGCGCCGGGGACATTCACATCTCCAGCTTGGACACACACACACACATACATACATGTCTGGTTGCCAGGATAAGAGCCACCAAAGAGGGGAGTCGGAGTCTGGGACTTGACTGCTGCCATGGCAGCGCTTAGCCTTAGCCCGCCACTGAAGGTCACACGGCATGGTCCCGTGAAGTAGCCTTAGAGCAAGGCTCGCACAAGGACATCTCACTCCCATTACCCACACACACACACACACATAAACACGAGCGCACACCCATACGCACAGACGAGGCGTGTTGCAACCTGTTGAAAACAGCTTTTCGCAAGAAGCAAAAGAGAAAGCTAAACGCGAGAAAATCCTTCTGCTGTAGACACAGCAGCAGTGGAATAAAACCCGAGAGAGGCTGTATGTGTGTGTGTGCTTCCATCCTCCGCCCACGCCCACGCCCACTCCCACCCCCAGCCCCAGCCCCAGCCATCGTCATACCTAATCTCGGCCCATGTGGGACACCATCCCCCGCTGGACAGCGGCCTACAGGTGGTTCGCTGCCGCCACAGCTGTTAGTGTAATTAGAGCGGGCTCCGCTGTGCCACCATTCCGAGATTGACATCTGCCATCAGTGGAGTCCAGGGCGGGCGCTCAAGGTCGCCGCCCCTCCCAGTTACACTTGATACCTGTGCCACGGCGGCCTTGAAGCCGTTGCCGATTTTTTCCCAGCATGCCCTTAGCCGTGCAAATTTATCAGTTGGCGCACTTTCGCATGCTTTTTTCTAGCGCTTGCTGGTGGCACTTCTTGCTGGGTCCACCACCCACGAACACCCACGACCACCCATACGCCCTGCCACTTTTCCCGCTGCTTCACGACAGGAGAAGAAAAGAAAAACCTGACGTCGCTGCCAGCGGCGACGGCGCTAGTTGAAGGAAAAACGACGATGGCCGAACGAGAGTGAAAGTCTTGGCCACATGGGGACATGGAGGCGTGGAGAGAGCCTTACGCACTCACTCACACATACAGCCGCACACCCACACACCCACACGAGGACGCCAGCGCCGCAGTTGCCGTCGACGCTGGCAGCGAAAGCGGCGCCAATACCAATACCAGCACCAATACCAATGCAAGCCAGGCTCTTTTCGTCTCGTTTTCTTTGCCATTTTTTATTCACTTTTCCCTCAGTTTTTTTCTTCCTCCGATGCGAGTCGTGCCTTGGCAGCGCAGCCTCTGCTCTGCTTTAAGTGCTACTGTTTATTTTGGTCTCCTCGTCGGATTTTCCCCACTTTCTCCCTCCGCCATCGGAAAAAATTTTTCGTCTTTTTGGCTGCTACCTTACGTGCTCAAACTTTTCTTAACTATTTCTCTTCTGTTACTTGCTGAGTTTCCTTTCCGTTCCTGGATGGGTGTCAGTAGGAGGGCTTCCCTGTGGCACGGCGCTCTTTTCGAATAGTTCGGCACTTAAGAGAAGACGCGGCCTCCAGGATGCCCTTTCCAGGATCTCTGCCCTGCGGCTCAAGCTTTTTTCCAGCCCGTGTAGAGAGCAAAAGCTTTTGCTGCGGGTGCGAGTCTCTGCTCCCGCGATCGGTAGTGGAGCCCTGAACCCCTCTGCCGAAATCGAGTCGAAAGAATGAGCAATCCGATCGGTAGCGCAGTTCCAAACCAGCGGTGGAGACTTGCTCGGTTTCGGTTTCTGCTTTGTGCCGTCTTCACCTGCATTTCGGCGTAGAAGAGCCGGCACTCCGTGCACATCGATCAATGGGACTTCTTGTTATCTTCTGCCGCCGGCATTCTTCCACGCATTGCACCGCGAGCTTCTGGCTGATAGCTTAACTATTCGCCAATGTAAGATGTGATCAAAGCTCGCACCTTGTATGTGGCATACATTCTCTATGGAACTTTGAATTACGTAGTAGCGAAAAAATGCATCAATGGAGCTTGTTAGGTATTCTCTTCTACGGCACGAGAAGATTCCCGAGCATGCAATCTGCCACATATCTTCGACCCATTCCATGTCATTCTTTTTAGCAACCGAAATACTATATCTTTTATTCTACTTGGCGCTGCAATATCTGCATATCTCAATGCTTTGCAGAGTTCTATGTCAATGCGGCCACTCATCTGTACCGCAGTTCGAGACGTGTTCAAATGCAAAGAATTCGAAAGAGTTCCAGACTAATGTCGAGCTTATCCAACAGCCGATGACCTGCTGATTGCTCGGACTCCAATGAATCTAAAGCCAATCTTGGGGGCCTGCGCCCGATTGATAATCACGTAGCCTGAATGCTCAGACAGCCGTGTGCTGAAGACTGGGAGTTTTCTGGCGGAGCGCAGCCCAGGTGATATACGCAGCTGTTATTTATCTGGGGGCTCAAAACCGGAAGAGCAGCTCGTCCGTATCAGATAAGCTTTTCTTACGAAGAGAATCGAATTTACTACAAAATCATGTTCGAAGGGAGTGTTTAAAAGTAATACATGTCATCTCTGTTTTTCCATATGCGGTGGCCAACTGATTCCAAAGTGCGTATATCAGCACGAAACGATCGGCAGAGTAGTGTAATTCGATTGCCATAAAACAGCAGCCCACAATGTTTACAAACTTTAAAACGCCAACCTGTGATTATGAATTTCGACCGTGGGAGTATATAATACCATTCGGCATTAAGGGAAACATTTTGCAGAACGTATTTAACGAATCCGTTCTTCCTGTCTCCTAATTGCGGGAAACGTGCTCGATATTGGGTCTAAGGCTTTTTTTTGCACGGTAGGCGATTCGTGTCTTTCCGCTCAGAGCGACGAACGTGTTGAATGACGCATCAGCTACCCACGAATTTTAAATTTTTGGATGCGTAACACCCGCCCGCGCGACGCGACGTACGTGTAAGAATCGTCGAGAGACATAAATGCCGAATGTGTTTTTTTTGGTTACATGACCTTGGTTCCGAGTTACCTACCTCCCCACCGATCAAAAATGGTTATAAAACTACCTCAATGCAGTACCCCTATCGTTACAGGAATCGGTTTCGTTCTGGCCACAACCATTGATCACGTCTTAGCCGGCTGCAGATCCCGGATGGCGGATCGCCGATCCCGAGATTCGCATCCAGATGGAAAATGAAGCGGGAAAGCATCTCCGGTGCGGAAGCAGCGCACGTCGCTCTCCGGCCCCCCGAGCTTCATTTAGACATGCATCTTACGTGATACGGGCCCCGCGCTCCCCGGCGGAGACTCTCTTCCGGTCTCCGGTCACGTGGGGAGAGCGCTCTGCACTCTGTGCTCTGCATTTTAGACGCTGCACCGTTAGCCAAGATTTGTTTTCGTCTTTCTGGTGCGGCATCCAACATCTCCGTACTTAAATCACGCGGCGCTCAACTGGCATGCGAGTTATGCAACATTCTCAGAAGCGAGCGCACCCAGCGACCTTTTAAGCGCGTCTGCCCTGCTCCAAATCACCACTGCCACTCCAGCGCTGACCGCGGTCGCAACCAAGGTTCCACGCAAAGCAGGCGCACTAAGGATACCAGCCCTTCAGAGTCAACTCAATCAGATGAACCCAGGATCACGAGGACAAACTAGTTGCAGTCAAGTTTCGAGTCATCTGAAGTAGAGTGCCCACCATGACGCACTGCCTTTGGTCGACACTGCTGGGCCTGCTGTCCGTGCTCTCCATGGCCACCAGTCGCTCTGTGCGGCAACTACCAAGCGGATATCCACCAGTGCTGCCTACCGGATACTACGGACAGCCTCCCTATGCTTACCCACCCTACGGCTATGGCTACCAGGCGCCACCACCCGTTTACCAACCTTACTACGACAACGTTTTTGGCGTCTTCAAGAGCTACCCCGGCGGTGGGATCCCTGTGCGGTTCGATTACGTGAGTAGAAACTAGAAACTAGGAATATCGGATTAGGAACATGGTTTTTGGCCACTTATATTATATATTTATTGGTACTGTTTCCTTGCCTAACCAAGTCAGCTTTCAGTTTTAATCGGATTCGTTATTTTTAATTGTAGAGTAATCGCTGCTCACGCAACTACATTGGCATCAAGCCCCATCCCGACCAGCAGCAGTACTACTACGTCTGTAAGCCCGACTGTGTTATCTTCAGCAAATGCCGCAGTCTTGAGGTGAGTCCTAGACGACCGCTTGCCCTGCTTCTCCATTCAACTGCCATTCAACTCACTTTCCCATTCCCCAGAGCTTCGACGCCAGCAGCGGGCGATGCGTGCAACGCGTTTCACAGCACAGACCGGACCACAGGCCGCCGCAGTGCCAGAAGGAGGGCCGCTTTCCACACCCTCACGACTGCCAGGTGTACTACAGGTGCGACAAAAACCGGACTCAGCCTTGGCTATTCGCCTGCCCGTCGGGCACCATTTTCTCGCCGGTGGAGCGCAAGTGCTTGCCCGGCGACCAGTGCCCCTCGACGGAGATATCGGACAGTGGCAGCTACATTCCGCAGAACTGCGAGCTGAAGTTTCCCGAGTGCGCCGAGGAAGGCACCTTCCGTTCCCCAACGGACTGCGCCCTCTACTACACATGTCGATTGCAGGAAAGTGGCACCTATCTGCAAACACGATTTAAATGCCCCGGCAGCAATAGCTTTGATCTCGAGGGAAAGTTGTGTCGCCCCCGCAGTGAAGTCGACTGCTTTGACTATGTTCCGGGTCCCGTGCAGGTACCCTACGCTCCACAGCCCTACTATCCACCCTATCCAGCTGCACCACCGCTATACGAAGAGGACGACTACGATACGGAAGCCAAGGAGCAGCAGCCTGCCCTTAAGTCGTACCCCTCATATAAGTACTCAACCCACCATCGCGCCAAGGAAATGGCTGCAGAAAACTTAGAGGTTCAGCAAGAGGGCGTTCCGCGCAATCTTAAGCTCTCGGAGAACGTTCCCGACCTGCCCACAATGTCAGCGAGTGCAGCTTCCAATCGTGAACCGTCAAAGGATACCACCAAATATCAATACACCGATACTAATCCAGCCAAGAACGATGTTACGGAGGCTCCGGAACTCAAATCGCCTTTAAAGGGCTTGCACCTTTCGCAACATATTGTCATTATCGAAAGTAAGACTACCAAACCACCAGTGGTGTCTACATGCCCAACAATTCCACCACCAAGTACAACTCTCAAACCAAGCACAACTTCTACAGTCACAAAAACCACCGAAGTCATTTCAAGTAGGGAACCACATAGAACAACGTCCGCGAAAATAACTACTAAAAGGCATACAACAGTTACTAAGAAAACCTCAACAGCTACCGAAAAACCGAAGACTACTGTAGTGACAAGAACAACTCAAAAACGAAGTACGGCAACCCACAACACTTCCCCAGTTAGAACAACAACAATAGGATCTACAACGATTACTCCGAAAACATCGACAGTTGCAGCAAGAACCGAAAAGACAACGATTAGTTCTCCCAAGCCTTCTACCAAAAAAAGTACCGAAAATACAACCACGACCTCCGTAAAAACATCTGCCATCACTAGCTCCACTCAAAAAGCAATAAGTACTACTTCCAAACCGACTACAACGACCCAGAAAATAACAACGCCGACTCCGAAACCAACTACGCTGAAAACTTCTACTCAGAAACCAATAACTTCTACTCAGAAAGAATCCACGGTTACTATTACCACTAAAAAAGCTACAGAAAGTTCTCCGTTACCAACACTAAGCACTGAAAAAGCAACTACAGCTCTCAAACCATTGACAACAACGAATACTACTTCCGAACCGACTACAACGACCCAGAAAATAACAACGCCGACTCCGAAACCAACTACGCTGAAAACTTCTACTCAGAAACCAATAACTTCTACTCAGAAAGAATCCACGGTTACTATTACCACTAGGAAAGCTACTGAAAGTTCCCCGTTACCAACACTCAGCACTGAAAAAGCAACTACAGCTCTCAAACCATCGACAACAACGAATACTACTTCCGAACCGACTACAACGACCCAGAAAATAACAACGCCGACTCCGAAACCAACTACGCTGAAAACTTCTACTCAGAAACCAATAACTTCTACTCAGAAAGAATCCACGGTTACTATTACCACTAGGAAAGCTACTGAAAGTTCCCCGTTACCAACACTAAGCACTGAAAAAGCAACTACAGCTCTCAAACCATCGACAACAACGAATACTACTTCCGAACCGACTACAACGACCCAGAAAATAACAACGCCGACTCCGAAACCAACTACGCTGAAAACTTCTACTCAGAAACCAATAACTTCTACTCAGAAAGAATCCACGGTTACTATTACCACTAAGAAAGCTACAGAAAGTTCTCCGTTACCAACACTCAGCACTGAAAAAGCAACTACAGCTCTCAAACCATTGACAACAACGAATACTACTTCCGAACCAACTACAACGACCCAGAAAATAACAACGCCGACTCCGAAACCAACTACGCTGAAAACATCTACTCAGAAACCAATAACTTCTACTCAGAAAGAATCCACGGTTACTATTACCACTAAGAAAGCTACAGAAAGTTCTCCGTTACCAACACTCAGCACTGAAAAAGCAACTACAGCTCTCAAACCATTGACAACAACGAATACTACTTCCGAACCAACGACAACGACCCAGAAAATAACAACGCCGACTCCGAAACCAACTACGCTGAAAACTTCTACTCAGAAACCAATAACTTCTACTCAGAAAGAATCCACGGTTACTATTACCACTAAGAAAGCTACAGAAAGTTCTCCGTTACCAACACTCAGCACTGAAAAAGCAACTACAGCTCTCAAACCATTGACAACAACGAATACTACTTCCGAACCAACTACAACGACCCAGAAAATAACAACGCCGACTCCGAAACCAACTACGCTGAAAACATCTACTCAGAAACCAATAACTTCTACTCAGAAAGAATCCACGGTTACTATTACCACTAAGAAAGCTACAGAAAGTTCTCCGTTACCAACACTCAGCACTGAAAAAGCAACTACAGCTCTCAAACCATTGACAACAACGAATACTACTTCCGAACCAACGACAACGACCCAGAAAATAACAACGCCGACTCCGAAACCAACTACGCTGAAAACTTCTACTCAGAAACCAATAACTTCTACTCAGAAAGAATCCACGGTTACTATTACCACTAAGAAAGCTACAGAAAGTTCTCCGTTACCAACACTCAGCACTGAAAAAGCAACTACAACTCCGAAACTATCGACAACAACGACTGCAACGACAACTACAGTGGCAGCCACTACTCGACTTACAACAACCACCATTTCCAAATCCTCTACGAAAACTACGTCGTCTCAAAAGCCAGATTCTACCACGCCTAAACCTACAACAACGACGAATCCAAAGACAACAACAGTGATCATTTCTACTCAAAATCCCACAACGTCCACTCCGAAAACCTCCACGGTAATCATAACCACACCTAAACCAATTTCGAGCACACAAAAGCCGACCAGTGCAACTTTCCAACCGACATCAGTTACGGCAACATCTAAAAGTATCGGGACCACGAAGGTTGCAACTACCACTACTCCGCAAAACTCCACCGCCTCCACTGCAGTGACCACTGCCACGCGATCGCCATGTGCCGATTCCAACTCCACCTCAGGTAAGTCTCTTGCTCATGAGCATCCATTAGTCCATTTTGAACGCTCCTCCACACAAGCAGCACTGAACACCTAATCACGACACTTGCCTTACAGATAAGAACACAAATCCTGCATGCACACAAGAACTCGAACAAGTGAATCTACTTGAACTACAATCACCACAGAAACAAGTAACGCTCACCGACACACAACCCAACACTTCATTTAGCGGAAGAAGGAACACTTTGGACGGGCAGGAGGCGCCGGACTACATGGACGATGCACCGTCCTCCGCCGAGGCGCAATCAGGGCAGGCCACAACAGCTAGGGCTCAAACCATGTCCACGCTGGCGGCGGCCCACATCCTGCAAAAACTGTTCCACATAATCTCCACCACGCCGCCAAGCAAGGAGCATGCTCCTACTCAGCGACCATCCAGTCAGCATTCCTCCAGCCAGAGCCCGCGAGGAGTGACCATTGCTCAGATGGCCAGGCACAACCTGGCCACCTCTAAGCCCTTTATCGCCCACTCCCTACGGCTATCCATCCAGCAGCTGGCCTCTACCCAGAAGGGCTCTGTCCAGCCCACTAGAAAGGAGCCGGAGGACTCCGAGTACTACGACAGTGAGACATCGGAGCAGTACGCGGATGAGGAGAACGAGGTACTGGACAAAACCCAGCCAAGGGCTATGTCCAGCACCACTGTGGCCGCACTGATCCCTGCTGCTCCGTCTACGACCACTAAACCAGAGTCACATATAACCACCTCCTTGCCAAGACAGACCAGGGCAGCTTCCTCTACCACAGCCCAGCCGATTGAGTCGCCAACTGGAGAGCTGGAATACGGCGACAGCTCTGAGGGCTCTGACTATGTCAACGACGCGAACGACATTCCGAGCGGTGTAGTCACCAGCCTGGAGGCCAGGAAGAACTTCCTGATCAGCCTCCTGAAGCAGCGCCTAACTCATACAGAGCTGCAGAAGCCATTACCGGCTGCGACCACATCCACAACACCAGGTGCCCCTCAGACATCAAGCAGCAGTGCAGGTCCTGCGTCCACCACAATCAAGAGCACTCTTGCGCTCACAAGTTCGACCGCACGACCAGGTCTGACTGCTAGTAAGCATTCAGGTCCACAGGCACCTAGTCGGCAGAAAAGTTTGACACCTTTGAGTGAGGAATACTACGATGAGGACGATGACTACATGGAAGACGAACCCGCTGGCTCTTCTGAGGCTAAGAAAAAGGAGACCGGCGCAGTCTTAGTAGACGATAGGCCACCGGCAGCCACCGCCAAGCGACACGTGGCGCAGCCTGTAGAGCAGGCGATGTTCAATAGACTAGCAAGCAGGAGTAGGGAAAGCGAAGTAGAAATGAATGCTGCATCCGACGAGCTGCTTAAAAGATTGGGAAGGAAGAAAACTCAGATTCCCACCGGAAGTACGCCCAATCGCGCATCAGCAGTTGCTAAGGCTCTAAGGCGCAGACTTGCCGCCGAAGTTGGGCATCCTTCTGGACTAACCGTGCCACACACATCATCTGATCCAAAAGCAACCCAAGCAGTCATGCAAACAACGACACGAACTGAATCATCCTCCCAAACAACACCATCGACATCCACAGAAACACCAGCGACACAAGCAAGCCAAAAGGCTCGAACACGCGAGTCCGGGGAGCAAAAACCAGAGTCAATCACACAGAGTACACTAGAAATGGTCACACAGACCACTCCAGAATCAGCGCCACCAGCAACAGCTGTGCCCGTCGCGGTGCGCCAGGAAGTGCTGTCGGTGAACAGCAGGCCCTGGTTGCTGGCGGCGCGCAACCAAACCGTCCACCTCACACCCATGTCCTCCATATCCATCTCCTCCGACGCTCGAACGCCAAGCAACCCAGTGAGCCACGCTAACCGTTCGTTCAATCCACTAGTGTCCAGACCCGGGGACCACTCCACGGAGAAGGTGCCGCAGCTCATCGTGAAGGTGTACGAGCCCATCGACCTGAAGATCGTCTTCTGTCCGCAGTCCTGCGACCAGGACCACGACCACAAATACGGTAAGTCCACCACATTTCGCAACGTCAACGAACATTGTCCCTGACCTACGACCTATGACTCGACCACAGACCCAGCTGATAATTATAAGAAGTCCAACTGCACGGGAGGCTGCGACGAGGAGGAGGAGCGGGTCCACAAGCATGTCGACATCCAGTGGAAGCCACTGGAGCTCACCGACATCGCTGGCTTCCGCAACGCAGTGTAGGAACACAACGACGCCCACGAGATTCGCGTAGTGCGATTTCTCTAACATAGAACCTATACCGTACCTATAACTACAATAAATACTATACCATTAAATCCACCAAGACGGTCTGGGAATGGCGCACAGCAAGTGGGTCGCCTTGGTCAACGGGGGCTTTCCACCCGCACAGCCTGCAGACTCCATGTGCTGCCACCGGGTGGCATGGTGGCATGGGTGGCATGGGGGTCGTCCGCCAAAAGAAACAGCGAGAAGCGCATAGTGCAGAGGCAGCTGGCAGCTGGCAAAAGAAGCAGGCAGAGTGCACACAAAAAGTTGCACGCCAAAAGGAAAGGAAAGGAGTGGAAAGCAAAGGATAAAAAAGCGTGCCACCACGCCGAACGTCCTTCAGCCTGTGTGGGTAATGGGATATGGGTGGGTCGCGACTGTGAATGTGGATGTGGATGCGGTCGTGGTCGTGGTCTGTCTGTGGTTATGCTGCCTGCATGTGTCCAGAAGTAGCTGCCACCTGTTGGCGCCCGCTGCTGCCGACTGGGCCAACAAAAGGAAGAAGTCCCTAACACAGTCGTGGACGGCAACAAGACCAAGCCAAAGTCGGCACGGCGGCATGCCCCACCCGCATGCCATTCCACATGCGAGTGGGCACTTGGCCACCAGGCGCCCAGTGTCGACAGGCAGTGTCCGCGAATTCCTGAAGCGACGCGGGTGGTGGCAGCTCTGTGTTTTGTGTTAACGGCAAGCAAAAGGAGCAAGTGCAAGTGCACTCATTGTTTTTGCGGCAGCTGCATTGTCCTGCTCTTGTTGTCTTCGCTTCCGTTTCCGTTTGTTTTGATCTGCTCTGCTCGGTTCGGTTCGCTTGTTCGCTTATTCGGTTGGTAGCTCGGTGGTTCGCTGGTTCGTTGGATGGGTAGCTCGGGGATGCGTGGCACAGTTCCCACATAGAGCACGAGTTAATCAATGCCCCACACCCCCAAGTGGCATCTAAGCACCAGTGGCAGGCTTTTCGGCGATTTACAGTTATGCGTGCCACAAATCGGCATCAAACGCGCTTAGCAGACATCATCCTGCTGCTGCACAAATCTCCAGTTGGCCATGAATTATTCAGCAGTTCAACAGTTGGCCCCTCCCTCTCGCTGCCGCCCCCCAACTATGGCGCACAATTTGCAATTTTCATGTAGCATGAAGTCTTGGATTTGACTTTCCCCTGCCGCCACCGCCGCCGCCACACACATGCTCCTTGTGCAAATCCTTTTTATGCCCGCATTATATAGTTCGCACGCATTGCTTCTCCGACTTTGAGCGGCTGGGTTGGGTTGGGTTCTGCGTTGTGCGTTGTGCGTTGTGAGCCCAGGACGTCACATTTGGCACACGATGCGCGCGTCATTCAATTCCATTTCCATTTCCATTTACCCGACTCCGCGACCCTGCGACCCTGCGACCCTTCGACATTGCGAGCCCCGCGAACTCTGCGAATGCCGTAGCATTTCCACATTTCCACATTTCCATTTGCAGCGCGACGCCATTCCGAGGGCCATATAACCAAGTTCAATTACCTGTTACAGCCGTTAGATGAATTTCTATGGCCAGTACATGTCCCGACTAGTTGAGTACAGCTCTCAACTGCCATTCCTTGTATCTGCTGGTTGGGTGGGTGGATGTCTTGTGCGAGTGTGTGGCTTTTTTGAATATTTGAAATGTTTTTGTTCGCGCCACGCCAACAAGTTCGACAACATCGGCGATGGCTGAAAGTTGGGGAAGTGTGCGTGGAGGTGGAAGAATAACGACACACTTTGGCACGCATTTGTGATAAACATAAATGAGCTTAGAAATGAACCCCGCAGGATAAGGCGCACACGCCCATACACGCCCCACGCCCACACGCCCACACGCACACACGCCCACACACACACTCGTGCGTGGCGCTAGAAGTGGGAGGGTGTGGCTCCTTTGGGGTCGGACATGGAGTCGGAATCGGGAGCAGAGTATTGACTACATACAGTAGACATCAAGTATCAGGCCGAACAGAGCATTATACAAATGATACGACATTAGATAAGCCTAAGTGCAAATTGGCTTACAAACCGGGATTTGTGTTTGCCGCTCTCCGACCTCTTGCCGCCTTTGTTCTGCCCGGCTTAGCGTGGATCCGGATACGGATCCGCTGCGGATGCGAATGCGGATGTTCCTTTGCATGCCACGGCTGCCCCCCGGCTCATCACCTATGCATGAGGCCATGATCCGGCGAGCCAGATGGATAGTGGTGCTCCTCCGGCGCATAGGGCTCCCAGTTGCCGTCTGCTGAGCCCATCTTATGGCGCCCATTGCTTTTTAGCACGGCTGTGTCAGCGGGTTCCACTAATGCGTATTCAATGGGCACGGTTGCACTTTGCGTAAGTGCCGATATCTGGGTCGCCTCCGTAATGCTTTCTTTTTGGCCAGGCGGAGCACCGAGCACCCAGCACCGAGCACCGGGCAACGACCACCGACCACCGAGCAGCCAGAGCTCGGCACAAAAAACGCCAAAGAATCGCCGTGTGCATCGTGTGCGCAAAAAGGAGCAAGAGCAGCCGCACAGGGTCGAGTCGGCGGAAAACAAAGCCAAACCGAAAGAGTTTGGGGGGATTGGACATGTGGCACACTCCGTGTGAGGAGCAAAAAAACTGTCAAAAAATTCGTCCTTGATTCGTTGCAGTTTCTTTTTGGCGTGATCGGTCTGGTCTGGCTGGGTTCGAGTGTCGTGCGAGCCGTGAGTTTTCTAAAACGAAAGCAAAAAGATGCACACACAGCTGTGGATGTGGACGTGGACGTGGATGTGGATGTGGATGTGGATGTTGCTGTGGATATGGCTGTCGATGCGGAGTGGGTGAGCAGCTGGAAGTGGAAGTGGAAGTGGAAGTGGGCCGTGGCCCCCGCAAGGACATGCGGCTGTCGACTGGAGATGGGGCTGAGGATTGAGGACTGAGGACTGAGGAGTACGGACTGGGGCTTCGAGTTGGTCGTCATGAATGAAACTCTCTGATTGCCTCCGTGTGTGTGTGTGTGTGGCATGTGGCACTAGTCGATGGGTGGTGCGTGGTGGAGTCGTGTTTGTTGCTTGTCTTGCGCCATCTCCGTTGCATTCTTTTTTGCTGGCTGGCGTCGCACTCTGATTGCTTTTGGCTTTTGCCACCAGCGCAGTCACTTTTTGTGCACCACATTTGCATGGTGCTTCTTTTGGAGCGCCAGCTCCGTTTGCTTCTTTTGCTCCTTTTGCTCCTTTTGCTCCTTTCCTTGGCCACCCAGTAAACCAGTAGTCAGTCAGCCAGCCAGCTCTTTTCGCCTCTTTTGGCGGGATGGCTCAGTGGGGCAGGAGCTCGTTTAGCCGATTGTTTCATTTGATTACGCCTCGCTGGCCCCGCTCAGTTTTGCTCTGCTCCACTTAACCACTTGGCCATGTGACCATGTGGCATGGGGCTTTGTGTCCACATTTCGTGGCCGAGTGCATTGGCTGGCGTGCTCCGGCGAGCGCTTTGTGCGCGCCCCCTCAATCGCGCACTCTTGGCAGGCGGCACACAAGCGGCAACAATTTGCAACTCATCGTTGAGTGCACCCAGCCTGCATGGCCCCTGTTTCGGCCAAGTGCCTTCCAAGTGGCCCGCGGAGAGCTCTTCAGGCGTGTCGCGTTCAAATCCTATGGATGCGGACCCGTATCTTGACCTCGCCCGCACCCAACTGCACCTGCATCTGCTCCTGCTCCTGCTCCTGCTCCTGGTCCTGCTTCTACTCCAGCGGCCCAGATTTGCACTCCGCGGCAAGGCAAATATAGGCGGCATTTGCCGCATTTCGTTCATATGCAATCGCATTAAGGCTGTCCTTATTATTTATTGACTTAATTGATTTTAAATATGCATAAAGCCGCGGTCCATCCAATATTTGTCTTTGGCTGCAAAGCGCAAAGGTGGCAGTGGCTTTCAATTAGCGTTCCCAAACACGGCATCGGCATTACCAGGACAACCGGACGGGTCCCTCTGATATCGAGTATGGTGTGGACTGGTATCTGGTAACTGGTAACTGGTATCTGGTAACTGGCAACTGGAGTCTCGCGGTGGCAGGGCTGGTTTTTAATCTACTGTTTGCATTATCCGATTTCAATTTTTATGTTGCTTTTTTGCGGCCCACGCACAGCAAATATTTTCGTTTCTTTGATGCAATGTCGCTAGTTTTCCACATGCCGATGACGGCAAAGACGGGGCGCTGCGGGGTACATTACCACTTTGTTGATTAAACATTAATTTTGCCTCGAAAATGCACAATGTGCACCGGTCGTCCGGCCGCCCAGCCGCCCAGTCGCCCAGTCGACGCGATGAAGCCCCTGCCCTTCTCCAACCAGTGACCCCACTTGAGTGGCAAAAGGCGGGCTTCTAAAGTTCACATCAACTTTTTGGCAGGAGCAACTTGAGAGCCTGAAACCTAAGAGCCTGCTGCACTAGCGCACTAGCTCGCCCAAGGAACACGGCGCTTGTGAGTTGCATCGTCTATTTTTTACGCTAATTGTTCCGCCCGAAGATGGCGCTGCCCTCCGCTCCAGGCTGGCTTGCTTTTAATGCAAACTTTTTATTTTATTGAAGCATTAAAACGCATTTTTTACAACCGAATCGCAATATTGACGATGGGCGGACTCAGTCTAGCCGAGTTGTCAGTCGCTGGGAGGAGTCGCGGGACAGCGGCCGAAAGAGCGCTTAATGGTCCATTAAAGACAAAGATTTTTGAAAAATTACTACATTCACTTTACGGGCCAACTAGAAATGGCGAATGCTG